ATTTTCGCGAAAAACGCATAGTTTTGGAGATATTCATAAAATACCTATTTTGGGCGCCATCTTGGCAAAATGGCGGCGTCGGCGGCAAGTCTGGAAATGTGCATTTTATGGATTTTAGTTAGGGACCCCAAAACCTATAAACCTGCAAAGTTTCAAAACTTCCGGACTTTTTTCCAAGCAGGCCCCTTTTTTGATCCCCAATGACTGAACTATACTGTTCATCATGATTATTGTTAGTTCCCAGAGAAGTACGCAGTTAAGAAAATCGTGGGTGTTTGGGAAGGTTCGAAAGAAAACAACTTTGTTTTTGCGACGTTTCGCGACTTTATTGTCGCCTTCTTCAGGCACCAAAACATATATTAGTCCATATGCTTACAAACATTCATGGCGATTCCAACCGCCAACACTAATACACATACAGACGAAAGAACAGAAACTTGTATTTTTTTAAACGTGTATTTTTTTTCCCGATGTAACCCATGCTAAGTTTATGTCGTACGAGATAGTACGAGATAGTTGTTTCCTTTCGAGCCTTCCCAAACACCCACGATTTTTTTTCCGCCTACTGTTCATCATCATCATCATTATCAGCTTATTCAACCATTTCCAATTATGGTGTAGCCCCCTCACATGTTTAGATACTCTCTTTGTAGTTGGACCCTTTGTTGTCTATTGTTGGCTATGCGGGCTCAAGTTATCCCTGCTAATTTTCTAATTTTCTAATATTATGGCCCCATCTCAGGCTTGGTCTTCCTCTAGGTCTCTTAATTCCTCGTGAGTACCATGCTGTAATTTTTGTGGTATATCTGTTGCCCGTCCTTCTTGCCAGGTGGCACTTGGGAGATTTGATTCTATGGAGAACATCTATTACCTGGGCCTATTGTCGTATCCACTCTATTTTTTACGGTTTTTCTTGGTTATTTCCAACATATTTCCTCCCATTGAGCGTTGTGCGACCTGCAGTTTTCTTATAATGTCCGTTTTAAGAGTCTATGTTTCACATGCATAGATCATGGCTGGTAGTACACATTGGTCGAATGTTTTCTTCTTTAGATAAAATGGCATTCTAGATTTGAATATGATTGAGATTCTTCCATAAGTACTCCATGCTAACTTAATTCTTCGGTTGATTTTTGGTAGAAGAAATCCCGAGATGTGTATTAGTTGTCCCAAATATATGTATTCTTCTACTATTTCCAGTTTTGTGTTATTTATTAGAATAAACCAAAGAGGCACCTCAAAGATCCATTTTTCTTAAATGAATCTTTTCTGTCTACTAGATCGTTGTACATTACTTTATTTTTGAAACAAAATTTATTGACTTATTGATTAAGAAAATGTAGGCCGATTTAGACTTAATTGCTATACAGATTTAAGCAGACACATCTAACGATAAATACAGTTAGAAAATATACAGGGTTGTTCACCACATACGACACGGAGTATTGTAGCTAAATGATTAGATTTTTACAAATTGTAAGTTTTGGGTTCGTTGAAGGACTATTAGAGCTACAATTTAAAAATATTTTTACAAGATACAGAGTGTTCCAAATAAATAAAAAATATCAAAGTTGTATTTTTTTTAATAGAACACCCTGTATATTATTACATTTTTAGTTTCTACGATTAAAATAAAGGTAAATTTGATTAAGGTTTATTACACTTAAACCTTACCGTTTTTGAAATATTTTCAATTTTGTGAAATTGCAGTAAAAATTTTAAGTTTTCATTTCTCCAAGGGTATCAAAGTTTTTAATACTAGATATTTACTGAAGTCTATTTACTGATCAGTTATTGTGTTGCAATAACAAAAACAATACTACCTCATACAGAGTGTCTAAAAATTTATTTTAAATTATTTCTAGCTTTAAACGGCAATATCTTGTTTAATTTAAATAGAACGCCCTGTATATTTTAGGGGAATCAGATGCACAATTTAATTGTCTATCAAATTGTATTATACCACATTTTACCTATCCCTTCAAGTTTTCGTAGAAAATGCATTTTCTTATAATTTAGACCTCATTTATCAATATACCCATGGAATATTGACATTTTAGGTTGTAATAATATAATATGTTAATATAAAATGTAATATATCGTTTTTAGCAAAATGATAATATTACTAGCCCATTTGTATGCAAAAAGAAAACTATTTAAATCTTTATAAAAAAGTATACCATTAATTAAATATACCACCTTTATTTCCGCCAAAATACTAATTAATTACATACTTAATTATGTTCGTTAATAAATTATTCTAAATAAATGTGGATTTGAATCAGAAATCAATAAAATAATAAGTTATGAAAATGAATGTCTCTGTCGTTATAAATAAGCATTTGTCAAAAAATGAAATATCATTTTCAAGGTGTTACTTTTTACCACACTCTTTAATACACATACAAAATTCAGTTTTTTAGTATTTGGAGCAATTATTATTAACAACGCAAACAGTCAATTAATGTAGTTTGAATACTGGAATCATATTAATTGTTCCTCTTTAACAAATATTTAAACAGCTTTTTTTATAGTTCAATGAAATCCACAACTATTTCGATAATATTAGTATCTGTACTCTAAAAATTTGGTACATCTTTAAAAATAATCTAAAATGTAAGTATTCCATGGGTATATTGATAAATGAGTTCTAAATTACAAGAAAATGCATTTTATACGGAAACTTGAAGAGATAAGTAAAAAATGGTATAATACAATTTGATAGATAATTAAATTGTGCATCTGATTCTCATAAAATATACATGATGTTCTATGTAAATTAATTAAGTTATTGCCGTTTAAAGCTAGTAATTATTTAAAATAAAATTTTAGACACTCTGTATAAGGTAGTATAATTTTTATTATTGCAACACAATAAGTGATAGTGATGGGTTGTTATTTAACTATCTGTTATTTTATAACAATTATTTAGAAATAACATAACGCAACCGTTACTACTTCAAAAAAATAACAGATATAAAATAACGACACGTAGAGATCGGCCGCTCGTGAAACGAAAAACGAAGTCGGCGCTCTGCACCGCCCCGAAATTCTATGCTGCTCGAAGCAATTCCAAAAAACAACTAGTATGGATGGAAAACCTGTTATTTCGTCAACCATCGATACAGGCGGCGAGACAACGGACAACGGAGTGGGGAATGCGCTACGGCGAACGTAGCTGCTTCGGTCGATCCCGTCGACGGTCGTATTGCGCTTATAACAGCTTAAAAATAATAGGATATAAAAGAAGCAGGTTTTTTGAAACAGTTGCGGGCATAACGCCTGGCGGTCGAGATAACAGGAGTGGGAAAGGAAGGCTGCTGCATCGGTCGATTGTCGATGGAAGTTCGAAACAGGTTGGAGAATAACGCATCAGTTGTTTTAGATATATTGTTTTTCAACCTGTTACGAGCATAACGGGCGGAGGTCGAGATATTATGGCGCTGTATGTTTCAGTACGTTATTAAGTTTCAATATTTAGGTATTTATTTATTCTGAAAAATTTTCAGAATAATATTTTAAGATTTTTTAAAAATGTATACAGGGTGTTTTGAAAAATCTGGTCATTGATTAATCACGATCCTGCTTAAAGCCCTTGACGTAAAAAGCTGATTTTTGGAAAACGGATTGACTTTAGGGTGTAGAGGTTCGATAAGAAGGGATTTTTCGAAACTCGAATTCAAAGGGGGTGAAACCACCCTCAAATATTAGAATATTTTTTATTTAAAAACCGGTGAGTTTTCCGGAAAAACTCTTAAACACGTATATTTTATTTCGTTGTTTTACATATTTTAAGATTTTTTAAAAATATATACAGGGTGTTTCATAAAATGTGACCATTGAGTAATCACGATTCTGCTTAAACTGCTTGACGTTTAAAGCTGATTTTTGGCAAACGGATTGACTGTGGGGTTGAGGTTCGATAAGGAGGGGTTTCTCGAATCTTAAATTCCAAGAGGGTGAAAACGCCCCTCAAATATTACAATATTTGTTATTTAAAAAACGGTTAGTCTTTCGGGAAAACGCTTGGACACGCATAATTTATTTTGTTTTTTTACATATTTTGAAATTTTTTAAAAAATAATACAGGGTGTTCCAAAAAGTTGAGTAATTGATTAACCACGATTCTGCTTAAACTGCTCGACGTTTAAAGCTTATTTTTGGCAAATGTGAGAAAATTTTATCCAGTTTGTATGTCAATAGAAATTCTTGCTTTGCTTTATCATCACCATTACAAATTATTAATTCGACGCGAACGAAGTCGCGGGTACCGCTAGTTTAAGTGTAAAATTAATTCGAACTCTAGTGTATAGTTGGTTTACTTATGAAGAATATACTACACATTTTCTTATATTGCTATTTTTTGACCACAAATGGTAAAATTATAACTAAGAGCTTCTTGCCCGTCAAGTGAGATGCACCCTGTACACTGCTACGCAATTCAGGATCTACGCGGATCGAGGGGCAAGGCGTAGGTAGATCGGAATGTATAGGTATAGACGAGTGGCGGAATTTTGGCTTTTTTATATCGCAATTTGTAAACAGCGCTTATTTGTAAACAACGACCGTTTTTAGAGAGGTATTTTAGATAACAATCGATATTTAGAAATTTTTAGACACCCTGGAAATACTACCACCGAGCATATCATTGTAGCAACTTGTAACTGCATTAATACGCCTGGCGGCGACCGCTTCATACTCTTTCAGATATTTAGCAATAAAATAAAGAAACCTGTTATTTTTAAGCTGTTATTTTAAGCTGTTTTTTATAAATAACTATAACAGTTTCAACTGTTATCTAAAAATAACAGTTTTGCCCATCACTAATTGTAGCTCTAATAATCCTTCTTACAATTTGTAAAAATCTAATCGTTTAGCTACAATACTCCGTGTCGTATGTGGTGAACAACCCTGTATTCTTATCGTTGTTAATTGTTTGATAATACAATTATTAATTTTTCAATATTTATCAGTGTTAAAACTGAACAATTTTTTTGCAGGCTTGAGTCGTGTGAAGCGTCAAGATGATTCTCACTCATACCCAGTGGGCGAGAACGAGATCGAACCTTTAATAATTGACAGGGGACCCTATTTTGACAAGTCGGTGTCCAGAAATGTCACAGCTCTAGTGGGGAAAACAGCCTACTTAGGTTGCAGAGTTAGAAATCTAGGGAATAGAACAGTAAGTAAAATTTACAACATTTTTAGATAAAAGAAACAAGTTTAGATTGAAATGCTCGGCTTGCCGTCAAAACTTATAATTGTTTTGGAGCGCATACATTGTAGGGTGCTGCTATAGCGGTTGCTGAGAACAACCGCAAACAAGAACAGAAGTAACTTGCTCTTGTCAAAGTCAGAATCTTCAAAAATTATAATTTTTTTAAAAATTTAAATCGCTCTCATGGAATAAACACCGAAAGGTGTTTAAAGCGTCCATTTTCAAAGTTATTAGTGCTAATTTGTGACTTTAATTTAAATTTTATTTACTCAAACCCGTGATAATTGTGAAAAAGTGGCATTATAAACTTAATAAGATGTGTGAACTGTGAACTGTGAACTGCAATAACCATCGTGGATCGTAGCATATCGTCGGTTTCCAACTTTGAATAAGAAGACTAAGGAAGGAGCATAATGCTATCCATGTATTCATCCATGGTGGGCGGAAAAAGGACTCTAGGGTGGGGATCTTTGACAGTTCTGTTTGTCGATTCATTTGACACATTTGAATTTGATTTGAAATTTTGTGGATTTGTCAGTCTTTACGGAGCTTATTTTATGTTATTTATTATTTATTCTTTAGATGGAAATTGTGGCAGAACTTAAATTAACAGTGACACTATCGCGATTTATCGAAAAAGACTAAGATTCTAAAATAGTTGGTTGTATAGCGTGCGGTAGATCTCGGCAAAAATCGAGTAAAATAATGGAACAACTTTTCGCTAGTAAGTGACTATATAATATACATACGTGTAGTAAACCGATCATTTATGAAATTCACTTAAATTAACTAATTATATATTTTTTCTTGCATTTTTGCTTTTATTTACTACTTGTCAAAGAATTTAGATACGCCAATTTGACTTTCCTGCTTCAGTAGCGTATCGGATGTTTCTGGTTATAAATAATTATTATAACTTTTCTATTTTTATTAGAATTTTATATTTTTATAACAATTTTAATAACTACCAACATTTATTCACAACGTAAAATAAACTAACAAATTATTGAGTCTACCCCACGTCTACCCTACATCATAGTTTTACATTTTTTAAATAAAATTAGAACAGCACTGATAAATCGGAATTTAAGTTAAGTAAATCGCGGTGGACCTAAGATTTTTGATATGTTCCTTCCTTAGTCTTCTTATTCAAAGGTTTCCAATGTTTCATAGGTATATATATAATTTTCATAGGTATTTCATACATGTCCTTAAATGCAACACACTGTATTTTATTTATAAAAATTAAAAGAAAATAATAATAAATTTGAGTAAATAATATCTGCCGACATAATTCGGAAAAAGCCGAACCGCTCCGAAATTATCAAAAGTTTTGGAGAGCGACCGTTGTAAGAATAGCGCCAAATAGTACGAGCCCTAACAACTATATGTTGGGACAAGGTCTTTTTTGCAATAAAAAATAGTAATTTATTAAAACAACTCAATTTATTTTGTTTATTGTTCTAAATTCAAACATTACAATATGATCTAGACAATTTTACTATATTTTTATAACTTTGCAAACAAATCACTTTTGATAATAGCTTATTTTGCCAAAATCAAGCGAAATTTGCTGACAACTATATATTGGGACAGCACAACATGAAATTTGTTTAATACGGAGTTACATCACCTTTCGCCTTATCAACTGCTTGAACTCTTAATGGCATTGTATTTACCAAAGATTGGCACATTTGAGGAGAAAAATTATCCCAAATTTCCTGCAGTTTCGCCCGCAAATCAAAAATTGTTCGTTGAGGGTGGTTTCTTAAATATTGCTTCATTTTATGCCACACAGTTTCTATAACATTGAGGTCCGGACTACTTGCAGGATGGGATAGAACTTTTATATTATTAACCATTTTTAGTTGATTTTGCACAATGGCACGATGCTCCATCTTGTTGGAAAATATAGTCTTCGTTTGAAAACAATTCTTGAGCACTAGGCAAAAGTGAGGTCTCAAGTATATGTTGATATCTTTGGGCGTTAACAGTGCCATCTATAAATTTAATTTGCCCAAACCTCTTGCTGACATGCAACCCCAAACCATAATCCATTTAGGAAATTTAACAACCCTCTTTAAGCAATCTTTATGAAAGGCTTCTGCTTTATTTCGTATTATTCGTTTTCGATGATCTCCAACGCAAACATCAAATTTAGACTCATCGCTAAATATGACCTTATTCCAATCATTTTGTGTCCACAATAATTTAGATTTTGCCCAATTGTAGCGATTTTTCTTTTGAATTTCTGTCAATAGCGGTTTTTCTTTGGACTAAATAAGAATTTGTATCAATAATCTTCAGGTAATTGATTATCCACACAAAATAAAGTTTACCTTGTAAAACCCCAGACCGCATTTATGGATATATTTTCGGCAACATTCTCTTGATGCATTTAAACCAGTTACAGTATTCCATTTAACTGTTACTTCGCGAAGAATACTTCTTCTCGCAGACTTGCAAATTTTTACTAAATTTCGTAAAACTCTTTGAGATATAACTTTTGGCCTTCCCGAACTTTTACCTCTAACGTCTACATTGTCATATTCGCCGTATTTTTTTATTATATTAAAGACCGTGGTTTTTCGAATACTTAAATCATCAGAAATTTTTCGAATTGTTTTTCCCGTACTGTATTGACGAATGATAATTTCGCGTAGTTTTTGATTTTTAACCTTTTCCACTGACCATTACTTTGAATTAAATAATTAACAAAATTGAAAATTAAAAAAATTAAAATTACTTACAGGAAATCTCACTACTCAAAGTATCGAGTCACTTACAAGCTGTCAATGCTGAAGTAAACAGTTTGCGACATTTGTGAAGTTTATAGCAAAGCCGCCTATGATGATATTAATTATTTAAAAATACTTGTCCTAACATTTAGTTGTCAGAAAATTTGTCCTTTTATGAACAAAATTCGCTACTGTAAACATGGATTGATTTACAAATTCATAATGATGTTTATATTTAAAAAATTAAACATATATTTTTCAGTCATTTTGAAAAACCAGGGCAATAATTCCAAAATATTACCTTGTCCCAACATATAGTTTTTAGAGCTCGTATTTACATTGTCTTTATGGGCACTTTCCAATCTAAACTTGTTTCTTTTATCTATGCATTTTTTAAACAAATAATACTTAGAAACATTCTTTTTTAAAAGAGAAAAGTTTAATATCCTTTTAATCCTTTCGTCGAATATTCTTTCAAAATTTCTTTCCTTTTAATTAATTTAAAATTATAAACCTACAGCTTTTAAAATTTACATTAGATTGGTCTGAAATAGTTTTTCTAACCATTTCCTATCCTTAAAAACAGTATGCTTAAGCTTAGTGGTTAATTAATTTTTGTGTTCTAATTCGAAAAATAAATTTCACAGAGACCTTTTGCTAATATTACTGAAATGAAGGAGGAAAAGCACACAAAAATTAAATTTCCACTTGTTTTCATTGCCTCGGTGAAAAGGAAAGAAGTAAAATTATGTTTGAGGATTTGTGGTATTATTATCACAGTAATATGTTTATTGAGGGTCGCTGATATGTATGGAAATGGTCGATTATTGGGCAAAGTATACGAGGTCCCGCAAAAAGTTAAAGGCAAACGTTATAGGGGTTTTTAAATGCCTAACATCTTGTAATAAATTTAAGTATACAGAGTCGGTCATAAAGATTCATTTAAAAAAAATGAATCTTTGAGGTCTTTGATCTCTGTATATTATTGGGTATTTCAATTCTTCCTTTAATTATAAGCAAAAATTGTAATACACATAATGTACTTAAATCCAACCGTTTCCGAGGTATCGACTGGGTTCAGGGGAACATCTCTCGAATGGTTTAAGTCGTATCTGAGCAACAGAAGTCAACTTGTGTGGGTGGATACCACGTTGTCTTCTAGCAAGCCAATAGAATGTGGAGTACCACAAGGCTCAGTACTAAGCCCTATTTTGTTTCTTCTTTTTATTAACGACATTGCTAACATAAACATCAGTGGCAAAATATGTCTTTTTGCGGACGACACTAGCTTCGTTGGAGCAACAACTTTGGCAACAAGGACGTCACGGCACTTCATAGGATTCTATCAAAAGACTTAATCACCATTAAATCTTGGTGCGATTCGAACCTCCCGAGTCTCAACATTTCTAAAACTAAACAACACCGCCATTGACGTCGTAAAATCTGTAAAATTCTTAGGGCTTGTTGTAGAGAATTCTCTGAATTGGGACATACATATCGAAGCTTTGTCAAAAAAATTGAGCTCTGCCTGTTTTGCATTATTATCTGTTTCTAAGGAGCTTAACTTGTCAGTGGCTAGAACTGTTTATTATGCACTTTTTGAGTCGCACCTCAGGTATGCTCTTCCATTCTGGGGTACGTGTTGTGCGACTCAATTTGACCGCATTTTCAAGCTCCAGAAGAGAGCTGTTCGATATTCACTGGGACTAAACAGCAGAATTCATTGCCAGGACTTTTTTAAAAAATTAAAAATATTGACTCTTCCTTCCTTATTTATATTTGAATCCGTTTGCCTAATACGTAAGCATGTATTAGCTTCTCAAGAAAGGCCATCTCACACTTATCCACTCAGGAACGCGGAGCAAGATCTTTATCTACCTACCCCACGCTCAGAGTTAGTTAAAAGTTCAATATTATACAACTCGAAAAAAATGCACAATCACCTGCCATTTGAAATCAAATCCATAACATCATTTTCTTCATTTCGCAAAGCATTGAACTCTTATTTACTAGACAAGGCTTTCTACGCCGTAAATGAATTATATTTTGAAAATCGAATTTGATCTTGTAAACATTGGTCTAATGTTTGCTATTGCTATATTTACTAATGACATCGAAATAAATTTATTTAGAGGTCATTGATATTTACTACAAACTAAATATTTTTGAATATTATTTTTATTCTTTTAATTTTTTTATTTTTTTGTTCTTTGACATTGTAAACAT